GAAAAAAAGCTTCCGAAAATTCTAGGTGACCTTTTTAGGGTAAAAATCCGTTAAAAATGGGCAGTTATACCATTTTTTTTGACGTTTGAAAATCCTAGGAGCGGCAGGCAAGCAAGAACTGATTTTGCAACAAATGTTCCGAAAATTCTAGATCTCAAATCGTCTTCCAAACATATATTTTCCGAAATTGACGTTTGGTGCCTGTGCTCTATGAATATAGCAAAACTACTATGCTTACAGTGCACATGAACGACATGCAAAACGTGAAGTTTATGCCATTTCTTTCGGAATTCAATCAAACAAAACAGTTTGAGATTGATGACGGACTTTGTCCTTAGCTGTGTGTTTATTGCCAGAGGGAAGTTTGTTGTGCCTCCATGTATACGTGAATTTGACGTTATACGCCCAAATTCGAAGATTAAGTTTTAGGTGGAATGCCTTATGTACGTTCTTAAAAATGTCTGGAATTGCATGTCTTCAGGTCACGTGCTGTTATTTTTCATGTTTTAATAACTACTAGGATTATTTTGTGTTGCATTGGTCGAGTGTGCTTTTGAATATTCACTCATTGTCGTTAATCATATGTCAAAAGGAAGCGGGGATTCCCCTGGTCCTGGTATTTCTACGTCACTGAACGCATATTTACTTACTTTACTTACTTAATAAGGGTGACTTTTTAAGGCTCAAAAAAACTAAAAATATCCAACAGGCAAATGCGACGGCTATACTCTTTTATTATATAGACACGAGTGTTTTACTGGAAAATATACCACTCGTAAAATTCATAAAAACTACATCCGGGACCCGAATGGTTTATTTTCCAAACTCTCACACGTTAGTTTATCGATGACGTAATTTCGGTAATTTCCCTCTAATATTTTATCGATGTCTTTTTTTCTATATAATAAAAAGAACATTACACGGCGGCTTGAAGAATGAATTTTATTTTCTCGTGGCATTAAAACAATATTTTACTCACTCCCTGCGCTCGTTCGTAAAATATTGTTTTGCCACTGGAAAATAAAATTCAGATCTTCTCGGCACCGTGTAATATCCTCTATATATGCTGCAAATGAATCTACCCTTATATTTCTCACTAAAACGTACGTACGCGCGTTAAACTTCCTTACCGGTATTAATCCGCTAACGTTCCGATCACTCGATCTACGCGATACTGTGATGTCGCGCTTGCCCCTCGATTCGCCTAAATCTCAGCTATCATGTAATCTTTACAAAACAATATCGATTGAGATCGTTGAAGAGTGAAGGGCAAAATATACTACTAATAAAAAAAAGTTTCCAAACAAAACTTTGAAAAATGAAGCCATTTGTATAAACCGGCTTTTCTTCGGACGTTACTGCTTTCTTGTGACGTTATGCCCAGGAAGCTTAATAGCTTTACGCTAGATGTAGCCTGTTACATCTGACGATAATGTTTTATGCCATTGGCCCTTTGTTTGATAAGATATATGATCCAGAAAATTGCATGGGATAATGGATGAAATAAAAGTGGCTAGATGAAATTTTCTTCCCTTTTTCCCTACCGTTTAATTGTACAGGATTAAATTAACTGCAAAAACCGTGGACGAAGATCGTGCTAGTTGTAAACGTTGGATCTCTAGAAAAGAGCAAAGATGGCGGCCGTATTGGATTTATTGAAAATCAGACTTATCAAATAGAGATATGGAACATTTTAAAGCCTTTAAAGCAATGAAACAAAGAAACTACTTTACCTACACAGATTTATCGTAATTATTTTTGCTGTTGCTGTTTTTGTTGCCTTTTTTAATCTAAAAGTCATCAGAGCACCGACAGCAAGCAACAGATTTCTTAAACCGAAAATACGAGGAAGAAAATTTGTTCAGTACGTTAAAAGCATTCCTCTAAAATGACTACTAATCAGCCGCACGAAACCCGGTAGAAAATCTGTTGGGTTTTACCCAGTTTTTGTATTAGAAAAGCCTCCAATGCAAATTAAGCCCGAAGCGGACGCAACGTTCACCGTGAGAAAACATTGCGTCCAATTTCAAATAAAAGAAAAGGCTTCAACAGGCAGGAGAACGACGGGAAAACAACTTAATTATTGATAAGGTTATTTTATTCACAATTGATATAAAAAGTCCCGTCTCTAAAAGCACGAAACTATCTACATAGGAAGTTGTAAATCAGACCGCTTCTGGATTAGTCTGTTATGTTAGAAATTTAACTGATTGCGTAGTTCCAGAAAATATCTATACTCCCTCCCCCACGGAGGGAACTTTTGCTTTAGACCCACCCCCTGGAAAGAATAGTTACATCAAAAATGCCGTTGCGCTGTACTATTGTGCGGAGGATAATTGTTTCGGCGATAAAGAGCTAGAAAAAATCCTTTTATTCATGTTAACACAGTGTCTAATAACCTCAATTTTGCCGTGTAAAGGTCTTTCCTGGTTAATAATTAACGGCACGTCACTGAGAAACATGGAGGTTGATACCTTACACGACACAGATGATGCCATCTGTAACTAAACATCGAGTGGACTTCAGTTGCTTCCTTTCAGTTAAAAACATGCATATGTCAGAGGAAGGCTTAGAACGCAAGCACATTACGGTGAACACCACAATACCGTTGCAGCTATATAACCAGACGTTTACATTTATGATTCGATGGCAACCAAGAGACTATAAAGGGGACAGAGAGGCCATCCCCCATATACACCCTATTCCATAGGTAATTCGTCTCGAGTTATTTTTAGAACCGCAGAACCCAAGGGGGATTGGACAACAGCCAATCACATAGCGCGAATGTATTCCGCGTGGACGACCCACGCTAGAGCCACGCGTCCTCCACGAATTGACGCGGAACAAAATGGGGGAAGACGCGGAGAGCGATTTTGCTATTCCTTTTGTCGACGAAAACGACTACAGCGAGATTTCTGCGAAAGCTGTGTCAGCGAAACCGAAATTAAAAAAGAATCGCCCTTCCTCTCTTGTATAGAGCTAACAGTAGAGCAGGGAAATCCTTAACACACTGAATATTCTCTCAGGATCATTTATAATTTACAGTTT